TTTGAGCGGGACCCTAGAGAAAAACCTGCATGCCAGTGAGAGGAGAAAGAACAGCATGGGCAGGGCATCGAGGGGGACTCGAAAGGGTCCTCCGGCCCCTCAGAAGCACTGAGATAGGATCCCGACGGAGCCCAAGGACTGTGACCTTTAACAGGAAGCACTCTGTCCTCCTTCCTAGTCCAGTCCAAACCACCAAGGGGATGAAGGCTTTCAGGAAAGCTAAAGGGCAGCTTGTCATCGATCCGGAAGACTTGGGGGAGGTGTGTCTGGGGACAAGCTGGAAGAAAGTAGGCCGCAAGCTACGGAATCACCATTTGGTTCTACTGGGGGAGGCGGGGAGTCCTTGCTGCCTCTCCCCAAGAAAAAGTACTGCACACCCCTGGTCCCTGCCTGCCCAACTCTTCCCTATCCTTCCAAGTCCGCTTCAAGTCAACCTCCATTAGGCCTCCTCTTAATACTGGAGCCCCCCAGGATTCTCTCTTCCGAGGACTCTTAGTCATAAATCCATTTCCAGTATGCTTCGCTCGGCCTTAACCCTCTGCGGCCTGTTGTAGTTTTCTTACACAATTAAGCTTTAGCACTGTACTGGCCCTGACAAATCAATGTTCTCTCAGATGTCCCAAGGCACTCCTGTCAACTGGAGTCCATGGAGGCAGTCTAGTGGAATTATTTACTCTGCCCTCCCCACAACTAGGAACTGAGCATTTCTGGTTGTGGGAATTCATGTGCAAAGAGATTTGAGAACCTTTGAGTCATGCAGAGTTAAAACAAAACAAAGAGGAAAAAAAAGTTGTGTACAAACATGGAACCAGGGAGTGACTACACAATTGTGTATTTAGTGAAGTGTCCTGGTGCCTGCAATTTATTTTGAAATGCACCAAAATGTGAGTAGTGTTAGTAGCAAATAGCAGAGTGGGTGGTGGGCACACGGATGAGATTGTAAAGTTCTTTCAACTTTGCTGCATGTCTGAAGAACTTCGGAATAAAATGTTGGGGTAAAACCACACAAATGATAATAAAGAAAAATGACTGCCATTAAGAGTTCTCCATACTGGGCTGCGGGGCTGTGCAGTAGAATGCTTGTCTAGCAAGCCAGAGAGGGAAAGAAAAAAAGTCCTCACTCTGTCACTCAGCAAATCCACCCCCAGCAAGCTATTGTTCTATCCCGCGGAAGGAACTACCTTCTACAGACCGGAAGTTCTGGTTAGATGTTACTTCTAGGAAGCCTTCTTAGAGCCCGCGGAACCTGCCAAACCTCCAGACACGGAACTTTCTCATCCCAGGAAAGGGCCTGGCGTCCTGAAGGAGCCACAGCCATAGCCTGCTGCCACACACGGGGGCCCTCAGCCGACCCCTGCGAACGCCACCGCCCAGCTCCTGTCTTGTTACCCGAGAGCTTCTCAAGAAGCAAATGCTCCGTGACCATGCGGACAGCTGTCAGTGGCTATTCCTGCCCGGGCCTCCTCCTTCCCAGGTGGTCCTCTCCCCGTGACCACGCCACCCTCCCCATCAGCACCTCCCCTGTGCACTCTCCTTCCGCGCCCACCGGCTCCTAGTGTCTCCTGCATCCAGCTCCTCTCCCGAGCCGTCCTCCCCTGCCCCCCCCCCCCCCGCGTCAGCTGCAAAGCCTCTTCCCTCCCGTCCTCCTCAGTGAGCACCCCACCGCATCCTTCCCGCACCGATTTTTCCGGGCGGGGCGTCTCCGCCTGCAGCGGCGGCGGTGAGAAGCGTGGCCAGCATGGTGAGCAGCGGGGCAGCGCGGGCCATGGCGGGTGGTGACCGGGCTGCACGCTGCGGATCCCCGCTCGCGGTTGGCGCTCGACTGCGCGCCCCGCCCTGGCGTCCCACTGGCCGGCTGGCCTTGCAGCCGGGTCGGTCCCAGCCTTTCATTGGTCGAGCAACCGTCCCTCTGCAGTACGAGATCTCCATTAGCTACATCTGTCTCAGGGAGGGCTCCGTCATTGGCAGCGTCCCTGTCCCTCCTCCTTGGATGCAGGTTCTTCATTGGCTGGCTCATTCTGCTCAGGCGCAGGTGTGCGCGTCTTTGGAGCTCAACATCAGGACCAGGGCCCAGTGAGGAGATACCCAGGAAGGGAGTTCAACCACAGTTACCAGCTTCGTGATGTGCCTTCTTGGTGTCTGGTTCCAGGGGGCGCAGAATATCTAGGCTCTGCCTTTCTAGGTTGTGATGATCACGTGAGAAAACAGAGGGGAAATCCCTTTGGGGGCTTGTTAGTCCCTCAAGGGCTGTGAATTGCTGACCGAGCTGGCGACCCGCTTAGTCAAGCGCTTCCTTGTAAAAGTGCTGAAACAAGCACGTTTGTGTTGGATTCTTCGTTTTGATTCTGTTTTTGCTTCCAGTCTCTACATCTTCCACCTGCCCTCTACCGTCTCTCCCTTCCTTTGTTTTTACTTAGTTATTTGTTTACTTATTTAGACTCTAGCTCTCATGTAGTTTTGGCTGGCCTGGCCCTCACTAGCAGTGGAGGATGATCTTGAATTCCTGATCCTCCTGCCTTCACCTCTCAAATGCTAGGATTATGTACATGCTCGCCCCGCTCCCTCCTATTTTTGGAGACAGGGTCCCACTTGGTAACCCAGGCTGGCCAGAACTCATGGTGATTCTCAGGCTCTGTGTTGCTGGGACTGCAGGTCTGAGCCACCATGCTGCGTATTTTAAAATTGATGAGTTTGCCTGCATGTCTGCATGTGCACCACGTGCAGCCTGATGTCCTCCAAGGTCAGAAGAGGGCACTGGATCCCCTGGAGCCAGATTTACTACACATGGATGTGAACCACCACGTGGATGCTGGGAACTGAACCTGGATCCCTGATGTGCAAGAGCAACAAATGCTCTTAACTGCCCAACCATCTCCAACCATCCAGCCTCTCTTCCATATTTTAAACAAGCATTTACTTATCATTTTGTGTCAGGTATTCTTATGTGCTGACCACTTACAGTGCTGTTGTTTTATCATATTTAAAATTCATCTTATCTCTCCACTTTGTAACACTGGGGTCTTTTGTGATTGTTGAATCTAGAGCTCTGCTTTCCCCACTAGTTTTTTGTTTTGTTTTTCAAGATAGGGTTTCGCTGTATAGCCCTGGCTGTCTTGGAACTCGCTCTGTAGACCAGGCTGGCCTCAAACTCACAGAGATCCACCTGCCTCTGCCTCCCGAGTGCTGGGATTAAAAGCATGTGCCAACACTGCACAACCTCCCTACAATTTTTTTTTTTTTTGGTTTTTTGAGACAGGGTTTCTCTGTGTAGTTTTGGTGCCTGTCCTGAATCTCACTCTGTAGACCAGGCTGGCCTCGAACTCACAGAAATCTGCCTGGCTCTGCCTCCCGAGTGCTGGGATTAAAGGCATGTGCCACCACTGCCACCCAACTTCCTACTAGTTCTTATAACTACCAGCCTATTGATCATGCATGAGATCATCAGGTTCAAAATAACTGGTAAAAGAAAAAGCAAGAAAGCAAACAAAACCACACCATTGGTGATACAGCAAAATAATTAGCTGAGGCTGGGAATGAGGTGAGGTAACCATATCAGTTATCTGCTGCGATGTAATGGACCACTCCAAAACCAAAGCAATAATCTTTTAGTTTGTTCATAAATGTACAGGGTAGTACCACTTACATGATGGCCTACTGGTAGACAAGATGGTATCGGCTGGCTCAGCTATTTTTAAGGGTTGGTCCAGAAACCTGAAGTGCGACTTTCACTATATCACATGGGTCAAATAATCACAGAGCAACAAGACTCAAAAATGAATTCAGGGACTAGCTCTCAATGTGTCTCAAAACACTGTGGTCATTGTAAAGCTTTGTTAATGTGTATGTGTGTGTGCCTGAGTGTATGTGTATCATGTGTATGCACTGCCCTTGGAAGCCAGGGGAAGGCACTGGATCTCCTAAATTGGAGTTACAAGCAGTCGTGAGCCACCTGTTATGGATGATGGAAACTGAACCCTGGTCCTCTGGAACAGCTGTAAGTGCTCTTAACACCCGAACCATCTCCAGCCCCACTGGGATCATTTTAAAGTCATGCTAATAAACGTGGGAACATGGGCCAAGGCTGAGTAGGTTGGGGATAAGGATGTCCTTATTGACTAGCTCTGGGACTACAGCAAACAATGGCTTATGGAGCCAGTGAAACCACAGTATACAGACAGAACTGGATTGATGATGCAAGGCCAGATCCCAGGAAAGCTTAACTCCCAAGAGGGCCATTTGGCCAGGAAGCTGCTACATGGAAGCCAACTGAGAGGCTGAGGCGGGGAGTCAGAAGTTCAAAGAACACCTGGAAGATGAAGGTTGGATCAAGGACAGATGTCAGTAGTTTTGTGAGTGTATGGTACATGGTGAGTGCATAGGTATGTGCAACACATGCATGTATGTGGAAACCAGAGAATAATGGGTGTCTTTCTTTTCTTTCTTTCTTTTTTTTTTCTTTCTTTCTTTCTTTCTTTCTTTCTTTCTTTCTTTCTTTCTTTCTTTCTTTCTTTCTCTTCTTCTTCCTCCTCCTCCCCCTCCTTCCTCCTCCTCCTCCTCCTCCTCCTCCTCCTCCTCCTCCTCCTCCTCCTCCTCCTCCTCCTTCTCCTCCTCCTCCTTCTTCTCCTCCTTCTCTTTCTCCTCCTTCTCCTTCTTTACCTTATTCACTTAATGTAGGGTCTTTCACTGACTCTAAAGCTCATTTGGGCCAAGCCAGCCAGCCAGCCATCAACCTGGGACATGCCTGTCTCTACCATTCTGTGCTGAGGTTTCAGGTACACACATTCTTGCCTGGCTTTTTACATGGGTGCTGGGGACTTGAACTTAGGTCCTCATGCTTGCAGACAAAGCACTCTTGCCAACTGAGCCCCTCCACATCACAAGGGACTGCCAGGAGTGTTGTGACAGACTTTGCAGGGGAGACACAATGCACACACCAGACACAACCTATTACCCCGGATAGGGAGCCCACAACGGATCAAAATACGGATACCACCAAAATATGACTTGGTGAGTCAGTAAGTTTTATTGGGGTTACTTACAGAAATATCAGTGTGGGGTTATTTATAGGAGCAGAAAGAGAGCTACATTATCAAAGTCCACCACAGTTCATCAAAGCCAGAAACCTGGAACACTGCATAGCCTACAGGCAGCTCAACAACTTGGAGAGTGTCCTTTCCTGGTGGCTTACCTGGTCTTTGTTCAAGGCAGTTCCCCTGCTTCCCGCTTATCTAAGAGTCTTCTTTGTGACCTGGCTTGTCTGAGAGTAATTCTCAGAAGTCTTTACTGTTCACATACTTTGGGGAGGGGGGTGGTGGCACGGCTGGGAACCTTGTGAATCTGGTCAGTTTCAGGGACTTCCTGAAGCTAACTTGAGTTATTTACTTTCCCTCTTAATGATCAGAATGAAATGTGTCTTAGTCAATGTTTTATTGCTGTGAAGAGACACCATGGCCACAGTGAGTCTTATAAAGGAAAACATTTAATTGGGGCTTGCTTATAGTTTCAGAGGTTTAGTCCGTTATCCTCATGGTGGGAAGCATGGGTACTGGAGAGTTAGCCGAGAGTTCTATATCTGGATTGGCAGGCGGCAGGAAGAAAGACACTGGCTTGGGCTTCTGAAACCCCAAAGCCCACCCCTAGTGACACACTTCCTCCAACAAAGTGACACCCACTCCAACAAGGCCACCTAAATCCTTTCAAATAGTGCCACTCCCTACGAGTCTATGGGGCCCATTTTCATTCAAACCACCACAGAATATTTCAAGTCTTTGAGGAAACCGCTACACAACAAAGGGTAAAGCAGAATCCCAGTAGTCAGTGTAGATCTAGAAGCAAACAGAAGAAAAGGCAACCAGACAGGCAGGAAGAAGTGAGGCTTAGATCCAAGAAAAACAAGCAAATCAAGTAGAAACATACAAGATTAATTCAAGGCAGGGTATGGAAGGCCTGTATGCATACCAGGACTAGGGCTGAGCATATTGCTGGGTGGTAGAGCACTCCGTGGCAGAGCACAGTCAGGTGGTTGGGAGCATCTGTACGCTGTCCCCAGCACTAGGGAAACCAAACCAAACCGTCCACATCTGAGCTGCAGTTATTTTAACTCAGCTGTTCTAGAGGCGTTTCTTATATTAATATTATACTTCATCCTATCTTTCCCTATTTGATTTTACTTTAGCATTTTATCATTTATTGAATCCGCTGTCATGGAGGAGAGCAATGGATAACTTAACAGCATAGGAAAGGCAGAGAATTGTAGCCCAAGCACTAGAACATCAAGTCTTTTGCAAGTGGATCTATGTTTCCTTACATGTCAACTGCAAGCTAAGGTATTTTACATTTACATTTATTTATTTTTGATGTATGGGTATTTTGCCTGCATAAATGTCTGTGTGCTTGGTACCCTCAGAGGCCAGAAGAGGGCGTCAGATCCCTTAGGTCTGATTGGAGTTACAGTTGGTTATGAGACACCATGTGCGTACTGAGACTTGAAACCGGGTCCTCTGCAAGAGCTGCCAGTACTCTTGACCATTGAGCCATCTCTCCAGATCCCATTGTTTGTTTTGTTAAGACGGAATGTCACTGTGATAACTGGGCTGGCCTCAGACTGACAGAGATCCTCTTGTTTCTGTTTCCCAGGTGTTATGATCAAAGACATGGGCCGCCATGCCCAGCACACTGAGGTCTTTTATGGCAAAGCCATCAAGATGAAAATAATTAAAGGCCTGGACACAATTTTATTGTTCTTTCAGTCTAAAAGTGTATATTTTCTGTAACAAGGTCAGTTAGACAAACAACAGACCAAACAACAAAACAGGAAGGGAAAGATGTAATTATGAATGGTTGGTGTCCTGACTTGTTTTATGTCCACTTGACGCTGCCAGTGTCTTCTGAGAGGAGGGGATCTCAATGCCTCCATAAAATCCAGCTTTAGGCAGGCCCGGAGGGCATTTTTTAAAATTAGTGATTGATGGGGGAGGGCCTAGTCAATTCTGGGTGGAGCCACCCTGGGCTGGTGGTCCTGGGTTCTCTTAAAAAAGCAGACTTAGCCCGGGCGGTGGTGGTGCACGCCTTTAATCTCAGCACTTGGGAGGCAGAGCCAGTGAGTTCAAGGTCAGCCTGGGCTACCAAGTGAGTTCCAGGAAAGGCACAAAGCTACACAGAGAAACCCTGTCTCAAAAAACAAAAACAACAACAACAAAAAAGCAGACTTAAGTCTCAGAGATCCACAGCCAACCACCAGGCAGAGCTCCAGGAGTCTAGTCGAAGAGAGCGAGGGGGGATTATATGAGCAAGGGGAGGCCAAGATCATGATGCGGAAATCTACAAAGACAACTGAACCAAGCTTGTGGGAACTCACCAACTCTAGACCGACAGCTGTGGAACCTACATGAGACCAAACTAGGCCCTCTGCATGTGGGAGACAGATGTGTAGTCTGGTCTGTTTGAGGGGCTCCTGGCAGTGGGGTCAGGATCTATCCTGGTGCATGAGCTGGCTTTTCGGAGGTCATCCCCTAAGGTGGGACACCTTGCTCAGCCTTGATGCAGTAGGGAGGGGCTTGGTCCTGCCTCAACTGAACATACCAGGCTTTGTTGAGTCCCCATGGGAGTCCTTACCCTTTTGGAGGAGGTGATGGGGAGTGGGGGGGTGGGGAGGCAGGGGTTAGGGGACAGGAGGAGGGATGGGAGAGGGAACTGTGGTTGGTATGTAAAATGGAAAATTTTTTTTAAGTAAAAAAAAAAAGCAGGCCGAGCAAGCCAATAAACAGCACTCCTCCATGGCTTCAGCAACAGTGCTGTCTCCAGGTTCCTGCCTCGACTTCCTTTGATGATGGACAGTGATATGGAAGTGTAAGCACAATAAACCATTTCCTCCCCATCTTACTCTTGGCCATGGCATTTCATCCCACCAATAGTAACCCTAAGACGGTCAGTGAAGTGGTGGGAAGTCTGAGTGAGTGAACTTCTAAGTGAGGATGTATTTTGATATGGGTACGGCCTGCTGAGGACTACAAGACCTTAATTGGCCCACGGAAAATTGGCAAAGCTTTTCTCTGGAGTCAGAGTGTCTATGCAAGACTGATCCGTGTGTGCAAAGACTAGCAACCGTGGTTTCCTGCTCCTGGATGTTTATAGCAGGGATTGGTGGTCTCCAGAGACCTCGAGACTTGCTAACCCCTCCCCGTGCTATACCTAATGAACACCCAGTGGTAGAACCCCACATGACCCCAGCTTCACTCTGCGTGTGTCTGTATGTCTGTCCATTCTTCATTCCCTCACCATCCCTAGCCAGGGTTCCAGGACCCGAGCCACACAGGTCATGGTAGGTTAGTTTACAACATTATTTTTAATACAATCACTTAATCAGTGTTCCCTTTTCCCTAGGCTTTAGGCAATCATAAAAATGCAAGAAAAACTATGTGATAATTTAAGCAATAAAACAGGAGAGCTTGCTGGAGTCTCACAAAATCCTCATAGTGTCATGAATTATAACCATTTTATAAACAAGGAATGAGTGGTGGCAGAAGCCCCAGGTACCAGAACTGCCCTCAAAATCTGCCTACCAAGCCTGAGTTCTACTGCACTGCTCTGGCTCCCTCATCCCTCCTTTGAGCTTTCTTAGAGCTTCATCTCACTCTGAACTCATGATGTAAGTCTGCAAAACTACAGAACAATAAAAGAACCGAATAAGTGATCTACTTGCAACAATATATGGAAAGACCAGAACACTCCTTAGCTAACAGAACTCCTAAAATGACAGTCCGTTCTAATTCACTGGCAAGGACAGCTAGTAACTCCAAAATATACATGGTTCATTTTCTCATTGTTTCCGACAACCTTGTAGAAATGAAGGCAAAAGGGGGCAAAACCCTTCTGTGGAATTTCACTGCTCCTTAAGTTTACAATACGCAGTTAGTGAAATGGTAAAATGAAGACTTGGCAAGAGAAATCTTCTGACTGCAGAGTTCTGGGAATAGAACCTGGGTTCTCCGGAAGAGCAGCCAGAATGCTCGTAACCACCGAGTCATGGCCCAGCCTGCAGTAATTAGTACTTTTTAAGCTCACGCCTTTAATCCCAGCACTTGGGAGGCAGAGCCAGGCGGATCTCTATGAGTTCGAGGCCAGCCTGCTCTAGAGTGAGTTCCAGGATAGGCTCCAAAGCTACACAAAGAAACCCTGTCTTGAAAAAACAAAAACAAAAACAAAACAACAACAACAAAAAGAGGTTGGGGGCTGGAGAGATTGCTCAGCGGTTAAGAGCACTGGCTGCTCTTCCAGAGGACCCGAGTTCAATTCCCAATACTCACATGGCAGGTCATAACTGTCTATAATTCCAGTTCCAGGAGTTCCGACACCTTCACACAGATACACATGCAGGCAAAATATCAATGCACAGAAGATTAAAAAAAAAAAACTTAAAAAAAAAAAGAGATTTATTTATTATGTATACAGTCTTCTGCCTACATGTATGCCTGTAGGCCAGAAGAGGGCACCAGATCTTATTATAGAAATGTTGTGAGCCACCATGTGGTTGCTGGGAATTGACCTCTGGAAGAGGGGCCAGTGCTCTTAACCTCTGAGCCACCGCTCCAGCCCAATAAACAACTTTAAAAAAGTGATATTTACTGCTCCCAGTACATTTTATACCATCTCTACATTTTATACCATCTCTAAGTCCTATCTTTGTCCAAGTGTTTAGATTTGGTGGAGGTCAAAAGAGGATGGCTTCATACTCTTGAGGGTTAACTTACCACCTGAAAATATGACTGGAGGTCTGAGATTAGAATATGCTGCCTCAAAATAGTCTTTGCTATATATATATTTTGCTGGTTATTATTTTGGGAAACCGCAGTCATGGGAGTAGCTGACAGACTCAATTTCCTTTTTTAATGCACAAGTGGAAAAGAAATTTACATTGGCAAAGTTTTACATATCAAAGGACTTCTCCAGACAGCTTCTACAAGACCACCCTTACTCATCAGCTTTCTGTTTTCCAGAAGACCTAAGCCCTGTGTTCTAGGTCAGGATGTGATCGAAGCACCCATTTCCTGACACCGACACTCAGATTTTGCATGACTCTTACGTTCATGTATACAATGGAATTTGGTTTTCCTCCCATTCATCCAGTTTTTGCCAGTTTAATTTGTAGTCCAAAGAATCTAGAAGGGCTGTCTCTTGAGTGTAGTCCTAGCACAGACTAGATTTTTAAGCTTCCGAAGAAGCAGAAAGGGTACGGTTATGTTATAGAATTGATATGCCTTTCCACTGAGAGTTCGTTCACTCCTTGATCACGAGATTAGTAAAAGTAGGTGGCTGCTTCTGGCTAGTGCACAAAAGGGAACCAGCCCCGAGCAGAAATCCCTGTCAGCCTATATAGTTTCCTGGCTCCAAGTTATACTTCGAGTTTAACCACATTTCACAGAAATTACAAGATTTGGTTGGACAAATGGAGAAATTTACAATGTAAAATATTGTCATGGTTATCCCAAGACAGGCCAGCACTGCTTTTCCCAGGCAGCTGTTAACCAAAGCTATCCTGTCTGCCTGGCAGAATTACACTAAGAGAACCTGAGTGCTGCTTTGGCTAAATTCTACTTGTGTAAGTTAGTATTTCCTAAGCACGTTTACATCAACTTCTCATTCTCATTTTCTCCTGTATAGTAAATTTTCCCTTATAGTAAAACCTCTATAAAGTTTACCTCATATATTATTCACTCATTAAAGTATTTACTGTACAAATCTTTTATACAGCATCAGTTATTAAGATATAAAAAAATATATAGGTTCGCTGGGCGGTGGTGGCACACGCCTTTAATTCCAGCACTTGGGAGGCAGAGGCAGGTGAATCTCTATGAGTTCAAGGCCAGCCTGGTCTACAAAGTGAGTTCCAGACAGGCTCCAAAAGTTAAAGAGAAACGCTGTCTCGAAAAACAAAACAAAATACAGGTTCGTAAAATTTACAAGGTTAATACATATAGAGGAGACAGATACTCATACAAATATAGCTTAAGATGGTTATAAAACTAGGAAACAAACCTTGTCAGGGCCGGGAGCATACCTCAGTTGTAGAGTGCTTACCTAGCATTCTGGAGACCCTGCATTCAATCCCCAGTGCTCTAAAAACACAAATTAAGTTTGTTGATGCGAGAGGTAATACTTTGGCAATCTCCACCACAGAGGAAAATAGGCATACCTCAGCATTGTTAAATGAGAAATTTACGGGAGTCCAGTATGTTTGCCCATCACCTCCCCATACAATCTAACCCAGGATCCCAGGGCAAATCTGATAAAGGGCAGGAGTCAGGGTTGGTGGAAGCAGCCACTGTAGGTAATTACCTATACAAATGTGGTGGGGTCATTTGCTGTTGGTACTGTCGACTTGCCTGCCTAGAATGACTTCACACTCAAGAGGCTGAAAATAACTCTTTGCTTATGGGAAGACGATCTGTAGACTCCACCAAGTTCACCTGGCAAACACAGGCCTCTCTCGGCAACTCCACTGCTGAGTACCCACCTGCTACCGTTTGCCATGGAAGCAGATACTGCTACGCAGGCACCAGCACGTGCAAAGCTTCATAGTCAAGGATGCTTCCAAGACTCTCTCCTGTTTCCATGGTGTTCTGCCTACTTCACTGGGGTGTGATGGTGGAAATGGGCCAGAAAGGCTAATATGTGGGCAACAAGGTCCTGATGGGGTGGGAATTTGTGTTGCTCCGATTGGTTGATTAATAAAGCCGTTTGGCCTATGGCAAGGCAGTTTAGAGGCAGGTGGGAAATTCAGAGACAGGCAGGCAGAAGGCCAGAGAGATGCCAGCCAGCTGCCCAAGGAGCAACATGTAATGGGACACAGGTAAAGCCACAGAAAATGTGGCAAAACATACAGATTAACAGAAATGGGCTGAGTTTAAATGTAAGAGCTAGTCAGTGGTAGGCCTGAGCTAATGGCTGATGGGCAGGACTGGGGAAAACTTCAGCTATGAGGTCCAGACCAAAAGAAGCATCCTGACCCTGAGGTATCCATGGAGGATGGTATTGTCACCAACTTGGATGACAGAGATGAAACCACACTTTATACAATGAGCCAAGTATGACCCTGGAGGAACACTTACTACTTACCAAGGCTCCCTGAACCCCAGACCAATCATGAAAAGATGACCCAGATCATGTTCAAGACCATCAACACCACACAGCCGCCAAGGTTATGCTGTCTGTACAACTCTAATAGTACCACTTGCCTCATAATGGACTCTAGAGACAAGGACAGACACACACATGCATGCAGGCACACAGGCACCTATAGAAACTACCCCGACACCATTTTGCGTCTGGACTCAGTCGGATAGGACCTTATAGACTACTCATGAAGCTCCTGAATAAGTGTGCCTACACCTTGCCATAGCCAAGCAGGAAACTGATTGCAACATCAAGTTGTGCCATGTTGCCCTGGACTTCCAGTGAGGCATGCCTGCTGCTGCATCCTTCTTCCTAGAGAAGTTATGAGCTGCCTAACGGCTAGGTCATCACTATTGGCAAGGACCAATCCTGCTGTCCCCAGGTGCTCTTCTAGCCTTCTTTCTGGGTGTGGAGTATTATGGGGTCCATGAACTTACCTTCAATTCCATAATTGTGATGTCAATAAGACCTCTATGCCAACACAGTGCGGTCTGGTGGTACCACCATGTACCCAGGCATCGACTACAACAGGATGCAGATCACTGCTCTGGCTCCTAGTACCATAAAGATCAACATCATCGCTCCCTAAGTGCAAGTACTCTGTGTAGATGGGCAGCTCCGCCATGGTCTTGCTGTCCACCTTCCAGCAGGTATGATTTAGCCAGGAGTACAAAGAATATGGCCCTTCCTTCATACATTGCAAATGATTCTAGGTGGACAATGATGGAGCTGTGTTCACACCTTTTCTTGACAAAATGTGCGGAGAAAAAAAAACCCGAGACAACTTCGTTCTTTTTGTCAATTATAAATATATAATCTTTTTTGGGGGGGGGGTGCTTTTGACTCAGGATTTAAAAACTGGAATGGCGAAGGTGACAGCAGCTGATTGGGGTAAGCATCCCCCAAGTTTTACAATGTGACAACGTGGCTGAGGACTTTGAGTGCATTTTTGTTGTTGCTACAGGAAGTCCCTTGTCCTCTCCAGAGCAGCACCACACCCTACGGAAAGGATGGCCCAGTTCACTCTGAGTGCGTTCAAGGGAGGCAGCAGCACTGCTTTTGTGTAAATTATGTACTGCAAAAAACCACCCACCCCAATCCTCTGCTTTTCATTTTGAATGGTCAGCCACTATGCCTGGCCCCCCATGGCTGACTCTCTAACTTGAGATGTAAGGAGGCTTTTGGTCTCCCTGGGAGTGGGCTGTGTTGTCGAGGCAGCCAGAGCTTACCTGTTCATAGACTTGAGACCAGTTTAATAATAGAGTACACCTTACCAACAAGAAAAAAAAGGAAGACTGGTCGACTCTTTAGCCCTTCCAAATGGGACCAGAAAGGGGTGGCTATGGAACAATTTAAGTGTGCCCCTAGCAGGGAATACAAGTACAAAAGATGACTAAATGAAAAATGAAATAGAAAAGCAGCCTTGAAAACTCTCTGTAGAAGTCAAGCCAACTGATCTAAATTTATACAAGGTAAAGCTTTGTCATCTAAGGACCTAAATGTCAAACCAATCCCTACCATCTCCCTTTCCCATAAGATACAAGACCCAAGATGCTTCTACACTAATTCCAGTCATTAGTTGAAAACACAGTTAAGGGATTTTGGATTCAGTCATCAGAGTACCAATTTAAATGATTTTTGTAAACATTTTGATAAAGGCCATAGGACACTTGTCACATTGTTCAGATGCCCAGTGGCAGGACTTCTGATGAGACCAAACAGGTCACATAAAACCAATAAGATACTGTAGAGATAAAGCCAATATGACTAAATCCAAAGCAGAGCACACGAAGGACCTCATGTATAATACAAACCAGCTTAATAAATAAAGGGGACAGAGGTGCCAGGACCCTGGGAGAGTTTTAGTTCCCGGTGGCTTGTTCATAGCCTTCTCTGAGACTCCACTGCCACTTCCACTTGGGCAAGTCTAATGGTGCGGCCATGAAGTTTGTAGCCATCTTGTCGTACTAATGCCACAGTGCCAGGCTGTACCCCAACACCTGCTGGCATGTGACAGATGAGTTCATGCTCATGAGGGTCGTATTTGTCACCAATGGGCGTCATTTTCTCTAGGCCATGCTTGGCAAACACACTTTTCAGCTTTGCTTCTAAAAGAGACAGTCCTTGAAAGACTTTTTCCAGAGTAAGCTTGTGGTCCTCGGGTTTGGCTCCTTCTGAAAAGCACTCAGCTGTCTTCTCCAAAATGTCTGCCACCTCCACCAAGTCCTTACAGAAGCTTTGGATTCCTGCAGAGAAACCAGATCCAAGTCTGAGAACAACGCTGTCCTTAGGAACAGAATCTGGAGTAGGCCCAGAGAGGTAGCTAGTACACTTTATACTTAGGATTTCTGAAAGTGGGAGGGTTGCCATGCAGGATTTGGGGATCAGCTCAACCATTCAAGCTTGCAAAGTGTGTCTGTCTGTCTATCTCCAGGAATCCTACTGGGAAACTGGGAAGAGATACAACTTGGGCTAAATAGGTCTACATAAAATAGACTAAAAACAGGGTCACCTTAGTTGTGGAGAGGCCATTCTGAAGAGATAAGCTAGGAATATTTCACTGGGAGGGTGGGTGTGGAGAGCACAAAATAAGAAGTCAGCACTATGCTATGAATGCTGAGAGCCACTTGTTCGACGCTGGCTAGATAGGAAGGTGAGGCACACTTAACACTTACAGATGAGGTGAGTGTCCTTCCTATGGCCTGTTAGGGAGACACTGGGAAAGGTCCACAGAAACCTTTTAGAGCAATGTGAACTAATGTTACATGGTGAGAGTAAACCCAGCTGTTGAAAGATCCCACTGCTCCCACTCCGACTGGGCTAAGGAATGGTTACCATTGGTCATCTACGGGATGACCCAGCAGGGGCTGGTGAAGAGTACAGACTCTTTGGGCTTACAGCTATGCTGAAATGGGAAGTCAACTAGACTAGTCACTAATCACAGGCGAGCAATAAAAAACACTGACAGAGACCTGAAAAAACTGACCAGATGCGGCAGACCAAAGGAGAGGAAAGAATTCTCCCTTTAATTTCCCAGGGTACCAGACCCAGTAGAGCTTCCTGAGGAAAACAGTGGCCAATCTGTCCAACAGCAGCACACTGGCAACTGATTCACAGCATGCAGACGGGTTCACAAGGAAAGAAAAATGCCAGTGTCAAGTGGGGAATGGGGCATCATCTAGTTTAGGGTAGGAGGGCGTCGGCAGAAGGCAGAGCACAAGGCACTTCAGGAAACAGGCCCTGACTGAGAGCGGACTTTGAGTTTTTAGCGTTGGGGACCAAGCCCAAGCGCACGGCTCTGCTCATGCTATGTAAATGCTGGGTCAATGAGCTACATTTTCAGCCATCCAGGAGAGGGGTTTTTGTTTTTGTTTTTTTTTTTTTATCCCAGAACAGGGTTTCTCTCTGTAGTTTTGGTGCCTGTCCTGAATCTCGCTCTGTAGCCCAGGCTGGCCTCAAACTCACAGAGATCCGCCTGGCTCTGCCTCCCGAGTAGAGGTTTTTTTTTTTTTTTGGTTTTGGTTTTTCGAGACAGGGTTTCTCTGTGTAGCTTTGCGCCTCTCCTGGAACTCACATGGTAGCCCAGGCTGGCCTCGAACTCACAGAGATCCGCCTGCCTCTGCCTCCCGAGTGCTGGGATTAAAGGCGTGCGCCACCACCTCCCGGCCCGAGTAGAGGTTTTAAAGCAGTAAGCTTCTGTGCTGATCTGTATACTGCCAGGGGAGACCTTGCTTCTATAGCAGTGAAGAAGTGGAAATTTGGCTAAACAGAAGCCGAGGTTCTTGTTGGTACACCGAGGAGCAGTTTCTGACTGATTCTCATTATTGTATTGTGATTATTTTGTGTGTGATGTATGCGTGTTTGCCTGTATGTGCATCCAAGTGGGAGTCATAGGTCAATGATGTATATTTTACACGCTCTTTCTCTCTTTCTCTTTTTAAGATAGAATCTCTTATTGGACACAGAACTAGACATTTCAACCAAACAGAGAGCCCAGTGAGTGTCCAGGATTTGCCTGTCTCCTCCCCACCAGCACTGGGGTGAGTTAAACATGTGACTTTTTTCCCACATGAGTTCTGGTATTCCAACTCAGGACTTCACGCTCACAAAGTAATTACTTTATCCACTGAAATATCTCCCAAGGTCCCAATTTATTATTATTTTTTAACTGGTAGTAACTATGTAATCTCTTGGGAAAAGCTTCATCTTTGTGACCAAGAAGGCAGACTGCTGAGTTTAAACTATGCTTGCAAGGAGGCCAGAGAGCTATCAAAAAACATTATACTTTCCACCAGGTGTAGCTCATGCCTTTAATTCATGCACTTGGGAGGCAGAGGCAGGAATTTCTGTGAGTTTGAGGCCAGCCTATATTCTACACAGAGTTCCAGGCTAGTCAGGGCTACATAGAGAGACCCTGTTTCAAAAGACAAAAACAAAACTAAATAAACAAAAAACCTATTATACTTTCCTTCTCCCTCCATGCTCAAACCCTTAGTTTCCTAAGTCTCTCTGGCCACTAGGAGGAGGCAAATGACTTCTGTGGTATCTTTGGTAGACACATTGTTTTAAGTTAAACTGGCCAACTACTAAACTCTTTGGCAGTGCAGTTAGGTAACATGAATTCGTTCCCAGATGGCTTACCATTTCTTGAGTAAACTCACAGTAAACTAGTTCTAACTCAAAGCCTGACTTCTGGTGCCCATCCATCTTGCTCATCAAGCAGGTGAAACATCAGAAGTTCCTCCATTGCTAAAACTGTTCTACTTGCAACAGACAATTCCATAACTCAGCAGTCAACAACTTTCTTTTGTAAAAGGTCACACAGTAAGCATTTTAGGGTTTGTGGGACAAGAGGCAAAAGCCGAGGATTTTATATTCTGTAGGTAAAGAGAAAATAAGTTTATATGGATTTAAAAAAATCATGAAATTCAAAACTGTACTAACTAACTGGCAGTTGGCTATGATTTGCTGAGTCTTGCTATAATCTTGGATATACATGCACAAATGCATGAATACTTTCTCTTTCAAGTTTTAGCTTCCTTTAGGCTGTTCTATAAATCACCAACTTGCAGAGTACTAACAGCAATAAAGGATTCTTGTCTAAAGTAGTGTACTTTCCCTGTGGATACAGACCAATGTTGCTTACATTAAGCCAGCTTCAGCATTCCTGGTTATGCCCTGCTCTTTGGATTTTCCTCGAGTGTCTTGATGATTCATGGTTCATTAATGACTGAAAAATATTATTTCTATATACATTAGAATGTTGGAAATGTAGTAATGTCTATCCTTAGAAAAATAAAGGCCAGCATTATTATAGCAATGACATGACACCATTCCCACGTGCAGCAGAGAAAGCCTGTAGGGATAGTGGGAGGTATGGGATGAATCAGTTAGGGGACTCAGGTGTATTTCTACTACGATCAGTTTACAAATGTGCTTTCAAAGGTGCCTGCCCTTCAACTACATTTATTCTATTATAAGTCATCTCTCACCAAATATCTTGGCGTCTTCCACACATCTCTGGGTTCGTCTCCTTATGTTTTCAGAATCAGCGACAGCTCTCTGGTATCTTAGCTAAATATCAAAAGCAAAATCAAAGGATGAGAAATCAGTGGGAAAGAATGCTTTTACTTTATAATTCTCGTCCTTGTAATAGAGGAAGGGAGGGAATACAGCTCAGTGATAGAGCACTTTCTCAGCATGCACAAGGCCCTGGATTCAGTCTCCAATAAAACTAGTAGTTGTTCAAAAACAAATAGTCTGAGACTGACTGCTCTCCAAATTTTCAAAGTAGTAATCTATTTACTCTTCAGTAGCTTGTAAGTAATTCCAACTAGCTTGAACATATCAGTTTTTCAAGTTCATTATCTATTTAGGCAACACTGCTAACCCTTCCTTCACTGACAAAGAATAAGTTTTAAAAACCTATCACCTGTTTCAAGGCAGTTGGCTGATCCTGCTTGGTCCTCTTTTCTCTTTAGTTCCTGGTTTCTTTAATTGCTCTCATAAGACATGCTTCCCAGCAACTGGAAGTCCCGAGTGCCTTTGTAATGATTCTGCTGCAGCTATCTCTTCTCACAGTGCTCAATCACGACTGTGCCAGTAGGTCAGATGCTCTCTGATTACCAGAGTACAAAGAACTCACACACCCAGCAAATACTTATTCTCTACCACCTGACAGGCCCGTACCACCTTTAACTGCCAAACCATCAGCTGGGAAGTGCTGGGAAACAAGAGGGAACCAAAGTGAAGCACCATCCTTAGCAAGTGGCCTTTTAAAAACCATAGCCTTTTTTTTTTTTGGCCTAATAGGCCCAGCAAGAGAGCAGTGGAGGAAGAGGGGTTTTTAGAGGAAAGTTCATTAAAAAACAAAACAAAACACAAACTTCGCTTGAACATTTAAACCCGAGAAGAGATAATAACAAATAATATAAAATCCACTACTCACTGTTAAATCTTGGACTTCTTTTTCCAGTTTAACAGCTTTTAGCCTTAAGGCTTGTTCAGCAAGGGAGGGACCGAGTACATCAGGAGGGTCCTCAGAACTGCAGTCTTCCCCAGCCGTTCTTGGGGTGGCGGTGCTGAATGGGTGGAGCCATCCCCTAAGAGGGTGGGGGGTAGGGCAGTGGCACATAATGAAAAAATACCACCATAAAAAGGCAAATCACAACAGCTAGAGCCCAAAAGCACCCCACACTGAAACTCTCCATAGTTTTCAGTCTTGGTGACAAATGTTACGAGGTCCTATCTAAGCACTTTTCTGCTTCATCTGCCTCATGTTTTTACTGCCCAATAGCTGAAACACGACTATATTTTAAACTGCTCTTAAAAGTAATAGCTTTAAGGTGAGAAAAAGGGCTCAACAGTTAAGAGCATTGACTGCTCTTCCAGAAGACCTGGATTCAATTCCAAGCACCCGTTCAGCAAATCACAAGCACCTGTAACTCCAGTTCATGGGGATCTAATGCCTTCTGGCTTCTGTGGGCAGCAGGCACACGGGTGGTGCAGACATAATGCAGGTAAAACTCCCATACACTTAAAATAAAGCTCTATCGATAGGCAGTTGTCATGTCGTACAATTTACCATTTAAAATGTGCAATTCAAACATTTTTACCATGTCCAGTCAGCCAATTCTGAAACCGCAATTTCAGAACATCTTTGTCACCATAAAAAGGCTTGTATGAATCACACCATTTACCATTTCCTCTTAAATCATTTGCCCCAGGTAAGCCTGATATTTTGTTTTCTACAGACATGCCTTTTATGGATGCCTAGTGTCAACAGAATCATAATAGACGGTCACTTAGAAGCAATTTTTCACTTAGAGTGTGTTTCAGGTTCATTCATGTAATTGTGATAAGAAAAAATACAAGTTTTTTAATTAAAAAGAATAGGATTTACTGACAAGTAGAAAGTGTTAAGTTACACAGGAATAAGAAACTCTCCCCTGCTCTGAAACATGGGAGCTAAAACTAAACTGCCGCCGCCGCCCCCGCCCCCCCCCATCATATCTGCTCCTCTCCCCTGAGAAGCGACCACTACCAACATCTGATTAGACAGATGTATGCTAAAGACAAAACTGTCTTAACTAGAAGCCTGCAAATTTCAGTTTCTGTACAGCTGAAATTTCCCAGTTTAGCTCTGGGAAATCTCCTTTGGCACAGGGATTTTAAAAAGACCCCCAAAGATGGTCAGAAGATTATGATGATGTCTAACCCTACATAAAACATGAAATATTTCAGGTCAGGGCTGGACCTCCTTAAGCAATAGCTAGAGTCTGCAGCTGTTCACTAAAGAAGGTTTTCCTCATTGCTGAGTGTTGAGAATTTCTCATTGGGGACAGGTGAGGCACCTTCGAAACTGCATTTGCCAGGAATTAGTTACTTTTTATTGCTAAGTAATAGATCATTGTGTAGATATGCCACTTTTTTTTAGTCATTTGTCGACTGATTTGGATTTCTTTTCTGCTAGAATGAATAATGCTGCTAATACAAAATAAATGCTATTATAATCTGTCATGGCCAGCCTAGCTCCAGGAAAGGAACTGTTGGGGCAGTGAGGGAATAAAGAAAAAACAGAACAGTGGGATCAGGTGGTTCAGGCTCACTGCTGGAAAAAACACAGCACCCTGGAAGCTCAGCATGCTTATTACATAGAGTTGTTCAATCTCTAGGAAGGTGGGGTTATCACATACATCAAGAGGCAGGGCTTCTGGGGTACAGCTAGATCAAGGGGACAGGTTTAGGTAATCTCTGCACACACTGTTAATACTTGCACTTTCCTCCAAGGGAGGCTTTGCCATACCTCCAAATCTCACTCCAGAAGGTAGGTTTTGCCATTCCTCCAGGGGTCTGAGGCTCGGGAGTTTTGACATGGCTTGCACATGTCAACACAAACATTCACTCTCAGGACTTCACTCACTGAGGACTGTCTCTGATCCCCACAATATACCCCACTTTACTGATGAAAAACTCGAGAGGCTTGAGGTTTAATAACTTGTTCAAGACCACAACGTTAAGCTGGGCAAAGTGGCACGCGACTACCTGCAATCTCAGTACTGGGAGGCTGAGGTGGGTGGATCTTTCTGGTGGCACAGTAAAAAGCCTGCCTCAAAAGAACAAAAACAGTGTCCTCCAAAACAAACAAACAAACAAAAGAAATGCATACACAGAGCAGGTGTTCTGTTGAGCCAGGATATGTAACACCAGGAAGCCACACAGTTACACAGTTCGGGTCTAACTATCTTTCAGAAGGGGAGAAGGAGTAGAAGGAACTCAGGCTTAGAATCCCAAGACTTCGTGGCCACATGCTGTAAGGCTTTCAGAGAAGAAAATCTGTGCAGTGAAAGAGAAATTCTGACTGATACAGTCTCTGGACTGAACAGGTCACTAAAACAGAACCTTGTTTTAGTCAATTAGTTTTTGTCCAACTAGTTATTTAATCTAAAATTTTGCACAGCCAATAAAATGGTTAAGGTCCCAACAACAGGACATCAATTCCTTAACTCACAAAGCATTTGAAGTTGTCTTTCAGGAATTGCTTACAGGATCCATTCAAGGGCAGTTTCAAACAGGCTTTTTAAGAAGGGACAGTCTCCCCCGCCCCCCGAAAAAAAGCCGGGTGCTGGTGGCACACACCTTTAATTCCAGCACTGGGGAGGCAGAGCCAGGCAGATCTCTGTGAGTTCAAGGCCAGCTTGGCCTACAGAGCGAGATCCAGGATAGACACCAAAACTACACAGAGAAACCATGTCTCAAAAAAAAAAAAAAGACAGTCCCACAAGCCAGTTTGCTTGCCAATGACATTTTGATATCACAAGCTCAAAATCCTAAGCACAAAACATAATCACCCCCTAGAAAGAAGCACATGACTTGTGAAGAGACACGATGACATCCACACCAGCACAAAAGAACCCTAGCTCTTTCTCGTCCTCACACCTAATGAGAAACAGCTTCTCTCTCCCTATAAATTTCCCCAGCAACTGACCAAGGAAAGAGGAGCCAGTTGACCTTGCAATAAATTTTATTTATTTTTTTACAAAAATCCATCCTTGGTTACTATGGAAAGTAAGCCCCTGCTCTTGGTATCACTAGAATATTTGATATTTAGTTCAGTTTACATAGAAATGTAGACTAAGCCGGGCAGTGGTGGCGCACGCCTTTAATCCCAGCACTCGGGAGGCAGAGCCAGGCGGATCTCTGTGAGTTCGAGGCCAGTCTGGGCTACCAAGTGAGTTCCAGGAAAGGCGCAAAGCTACACAGAGAAACCCTGTCTCGAAAAACCAAAAAAAAAAAAAAAAAAAGAAAAAGAAATGTAGACTAGGGCCTAGTTTGGAGCAGATCTTGAACTATGGCTGCTCTGACCTCTATTTTAAGGAAGTTTTCATTATACTTCTTAGATCCTGGGAATTATTTTAAGTGAAAAACTACCAGGTCAATCAATCTATGGGTCCAAGAGCTCTTTAAAGCAGTTTATTATTTATATAAAGGGACATATATTGGATAGTGGCCACTGAGATGACAGACATCTAAACAAAGGCTAAGAGGGTGGGGGGTAAAGGAGTTTGCTTTAAGAAAAGAGTGCTCTAGGCAGAGCGAAGCGCTAGCTGGCTTGAGAACAGGCAAGAGAACTTTTATTTCCCAGATTTTTCAGGCTGGCCCTGAATTTTATTATGGTTTGATATCCAATTATACATGGTTCTAAATATCTGGTTCAGAAAATACAGTTATCATAGACAAGTCTGGGGCAAATTATACATGGACAAAGACCGAGCCTCCTAGAAAACCACGTTTATCCTGGATAAACAGAGAGCTGGTCAAGACCGCCAGATTGAAGAGAAGAGGTCAGTGCTCAATTACTTCTTCAGACGAAACTATTCTATGATTATTTCCTTACCTCACCCAACACACTGCCAAAGGTTTGAAAACAAACCACCCCGCCCAGAGCATTGAATTCAGCGCCTCACAGCTCTGGTGGGGCGGGTGTATTGGGTCAGGTGCTTCAAGAGGGGAAAAAAAAGAATGACAAATGGCCATGCAAATTTCCTGGATTTCCCCGCAGCTAATTTACAAGTCAGAGTTCTCGAACTACTCATGGACCGCCTTTTTAAAAGAATTCTTTCTCAGGAGTATCCCCTGAGAATAACGAACCGTGTTCACTAATACAAAAACACCGAGACTGGTTTCTAGACGGGGTAATAACTCCCTTTAAGATTCGTTTGGGAAAGTTAGTAAGTTTTCCTACATTCTAGATTCCTCAGTTCTTAAACATGAAGCAATAAAAAGAGCCTACCCAGAGTCCTGCAGTCCACTGACGGCACCCCTAAATTTCACAGTACCCCTAAGACTGGTGGAAAGGCCGTCTGGGGAATGGTCCGATGCTCTTCTATTACACACGGGTAAAACGAGGTTCGCGAGAAGCTGGAGAGACCGACTGCCCTGAGACCACATGGAGTCTGGCTAAGAACCCTAATACATCCCCGGACGAAACAGGTGAGCCGGGGCTAGGAAGGAGCCCCGTCTCCGGTTCACTCATGCCCGGGGTTCCACCTCCCACGACGTGGCCTCGGGTCCACTCATCTCCCGTGACCCGGGAAAAGCGCGCCTCTGGGCCTCAGGCTCCCTTTCAAGGGACGCGGCGTGGACGCCCGGGTCGCGGGGCCTGCGGCCGGTCCTCGCTGGCGCCGAGCTAGCCCTCGCCTTCCTTCCCACAGCTGCCCATCGGCGCGCCCACGCCACGGCCTGCCGGGCCCCGCCGCCCCTCTTACCGGCTCTGCGACACGGTCCCGGAGGCCAGGAGGCGCTGCAGCCGCTGCACCGCCCACAACCACCGCGCCGCCATGTTCCAGACCAGCGCGCCGACCCCGCGCACGCGCGGTCGAGCCAAGTGGAGAGACGAGCTCGCCGAAAGGCCACGCCCCCCCCCCCCCCGTGTAGGCACGGGACTTCCGGTTTCCTGTGCGCCACACTGCTCTTCCGGGCCGGGCTCCCCGTGTTGAACTGGTCGGGTAGACGCTTGCCCCGGAGGTTCATAGTAGGTGCGAAGTTCACGGTGAGCGAGGTGGGTCCTCACCTCCATCCTCCTCGAGGAGCGCACATGAGGTTACGAGCCACACGTGTAAAATGGGACCAGCGCTTAAACGCGAGGGGCACGGCGCTGGGAAAGGTTAGACCAGAGGCCGGCGAGACGGCTCACTGCCAAGCCTCAACAAGCCGAGTTCGATCCTGGGACCCTCCTGGAGAGAAACGACTGCCTCACCGAAACAAATACGCGCCCACACAAAACTGAAAAAGACTTGCCCTATAGCCGAAACATTGGTAGATGAAAAGGGGAGAAAAGTGGATCCCGGAGTGACGACCTTTGTAAAGAAAGAGCCAGTGAAGAGGGAGAATTGAAAGCAATAGATTTAAATACGGGGAAAGGGTATGGTAAGGTCAGACTGGAGAATTGGCTAGAGCCGGTCTCGTGAGTGATGAAATACTGCAGCCTGGTTGCACCTGCCCCAGTCACTCCCACGATTTTTTCTTCCATGGCTGTTTTCTAACTTAACTGTGTGTTCATGGTGTATGCTCAGTTGTTTCTGCTCACTCAAATCTAAGCGCTTTCAAGGCAGAGCTATATTTTATTGTCTAATTCTGATTGTAGTAACTTGACAACAGGTATGACTCGGGCCTGTAATTCCAGCCACTCCGGGCTAAGGCAAGAGGATCACCAGCCCGAGAGCCGAGAATACACAGCTCAGTGGTCGAGTGCTTACCTAGCGCATGCAACGACCTTTCCTCGGTTCTGTTAAAAAAAAAAATCCCTTGGCTGTTCAGAGAAAATTGAAGCGTGTAAAAAGAGGTAGAGAAATGCAGGGCGGTGGTGGTGCACGCCTTTAATCCCAGCACTCTGGAGGCAGAGGCAGGCAGATCTCTGTGAGTTCGAGGCCAGCCTGGTCTGAAGAGCGAGTTCCAAGACAGGCTCCAAAGCTACACAGAGAAACCTTGTCTCAAAAAATAACGCCGGGCAGTGGTGGCGCACGCCTTTAATCCCAGCACTCGGGAAGCAGAGGCAGGCGGATCTCTGTGAGTTCGAGGCCAGCCTGGTCTACCAGGAAAGGCGCAAAGCTACACAGAAAAACCCTGTCTCGAAAAACCAAAAAAAAAAAAAAAAAAAAAAGAGGTAGGGAAGACAAGACTGTTTTTATTAGGGTTGTTGACAGAGGGGCTTACTCTGAAGCCCTAAACTCATACTTCACCTTCTGCAGGTGCTGGGTTTGCAGTGCCAGGCCATCTTACCCCATATCCCCTCACATAGTGTAGTTACAGAGAAACCTAACTAGCTGGTGTAAGTCTCTGTGCTTACATCCTATTTTCTCAGCATTTTATCTTGTGTATGAGTACACACATGAATACATGTAGTCAGAGGACCATTTGCAGTAGCCTTTGTCTTTCTACTCTGTGGGTCCTGGGGCTTGAAGTCAGGTCATCAGGCTTGGTGGTAACCCCCTTTTACCTGCTGAGCAGTCTGGCCAGCCCAAGATGTAGATACATTTTAGGGCTTTACTGGGTGTGGTGGTGCATGACTTTAATCCCAGCACTTGGGAGGAAGAGGCAGGCAGATCTCTGTCTGTTTGAGGCCAACCTGGTCTACACATCAAATTCTAGGCCAGTCAGAGATAGATGGGAAACCCTCACCACCCCCAGACAGTATTTCTCTGTATAGCCCTGGATGTCATGGAACTAACTCAAGACCAGGCTGGCCTCAAACTCAGAGATTCACTGAGTGCTGGGAATAATGTGATCCTTCTTTAAAACAACAACAACAACAACAACAAATTAGTGGTTTTGGATGAAGGGAAGTCTGAGTGTGAAGATGAACTAGTGATTGTGGTTTCAAGCTTAATTACTGAGTAGATCTTAAAGTCAAAATGAGTAAAAATTAATTTAAAAAAAAGGATTTGGGACATGTTCCTTCAGCACTCTGAATCCTCACCAAAATATAGCTTACTTCTAGCAACTTGGGTCAGACATTGCCTTCTGCCAGTTCATGAGTTCCATGAGGACAGAGACAGTCCCCTCCCCCTGCCCCCCCAGACAGGGTTTCTCTCTGTAGCTTTGGAGCCTGTCCTGGAACTTGCTCTGTAGACCAGGCTGGCCTCATTCACAGAGATCCGCCTGGCTCTGCCTCCTGAGTGCTGGGATTAAAGGTGTGTACCACCACTGCCTGGTTTAGAGACTTCTGTATCTTTGATCTCGTCCAAGGCCCAGCTCAGATGTGACAGCCAACACACCATCATCATCTTCATGTGGTGCTCTCTGAGAATAAAGTCTAGGTGGGCAGCTTATGAACTCTTCAGATAAGAAACTTGAGACTGAGCAGTTGGTGAGCCTGTGGAAGCTTTGCCCAGTGAGGATGAGTGACAGGAGGAATCTAACACTTCAGTGTTGGCAAGGCTGGAACTTTAAGTTCCTCTCAGAATGTGGCCTGAGAAGACATTTGAACAAGCGAGTATGGGAGCTGGTGTCTGTTTAGCAGTTTACTTACACTTCTTTTAGCTGCACAGCTTAGACCATGTACATATATGTGTATGTATATATCCATCCATTCATATACATGTACATACAGTTGTGTGCACATGTGTTTTGAGACAGGGTTTGTGTAGCCCTGGTTGGCCTAGAACTCCCTATGTAGACCAGGCTGGCCTTGAAGTTGGCTTCTATTTATATATTTATTAGGTGCAAGTGTGCTTCTGAATGGAGATCACAGAAGAGACGGAGATTTGGAGTTAAGAAATAAGGGTTCTAGAATCACACTGCACTGCAGAAAAATAAGTTATTTTAACTGAGCTCACAGAATCTTAGTGTCAAGTACAGGCATAATGCTTGGAAAGGCAATAAATACCAGAGCTGGCTACACTATTTTAAAAAATATTTTTATGTTTAGTGTGTGTAGGTGTGTATGGGTGCCACAGTGTGTGTGTGTGTGTGTGTGTGTGTGTGTGTGTGTGTGTAGGTCAGAGGGCTGCCTATGGCAGTTGGTTCTCTCCATCCTTTCATATGGGTTCTGAGGATTAAACTCAGGTCCTCAGGCTTGGCAGCAAGCCCCCTTACACCCTCTGAAACATCTTGCTGGATTCTGGGTACATTATTTAAAAGACAAGAGTAAAATGCAGAAAAATTATTACAGAGAAACATTTTCAAGAAGGCAGCAGCCGAGGGTCAAGGCGAGCACTGGGTGTACACTGAGCACGGGCCTCAGGTGACACAGGCTGTTGGTGCCTGACAGGTGGCATGTCCTCCTGTGTATTAATGATTAATGATGCAGGGCCCTTTCTTCTTTGAGCCCAAGATCCGCTTGTGGAAAAGGCATTTAATGCTAAAATAACTGCCCAAGAAAGAGTGTGACAGATACTTAAGACACAGTGGTGGGTGCCACTTAGAAGATATATCTTAACAAGGAGCACTGGCAGATGTGGGCTTTGTCATTGAAGACACAGGTACAGTTTGGAATGAAAACCCTCCCTTTGGATTAGATGCCTTTTGAGAGCCATTACTATTTAAATCATTTTTTTTCCTTAGCAGAAAAAACAAAGGTTTTTGAGTCAGACCTTTCTCATCTAGCTGATTCTAAAATCCACTTCTGACTTGGGCATTTTCAACTTTAAACAATATAGAAGATGTTTCTCACGATTTATCTCACTAAATACCCACCAGGAGTCTTGGGAGGAGAGTATAATCACTTAGCCTGTTCTCACAATGAAAGCCAGAGGGGTTGAATGACTTTCCTGAGATAATCCTGCAGTTAGCAGCAGTCAGCCCTGTCTGGACACAGAACCATGACCCCTAATGTGTCTGCCCTACCAGTGAGGTGACTTGCCTGCTCCAGTCTCTAGCTGCTTCAAAGATTGGTAAGGTTTCAATGAGGCTGAAGTATGTTAAGCCTTAGGTGGGTAACATACCAAGACTAGCAAACCATCCGCTGGTTTTTCTGAGACACACAGCTTCCCCCCACTCCCCAAGTGCCAGCTACCTCTCAGAGTTGAACAGTTTCATCTTTATTGGAGATGAATATGTTAAAAATCAACCTAAAAGCCCAGTGTTGAGACAGTCATGAATGGCATAGAAAAGAGGTTGCCTAGGACTTGAGGTCCTATAAAAATATCAAGTGTTTGGAAAAGGCTTAGCACCCTTGTGGCAGAAATGAGCCACCATCCTGTTGGTTTTCCTCAATAGTTTCACTTCGTAGCAGATACGGAGACAGGCTTGTGGGTCTCCTTGTACAAGATGAAGACTTCATTAGGCTGAAGACAGTCTTCCAACCACAGACAGCCCCAGGAGCCTCGATGTCACATTAAATAGGTAAGGACTTGACTGACAGCAATTGACTCCACCCTCCAATGCATGCAACAGTGTGTGGGCATTCAAACTTCATACTTCTGCCACTGTGAGTTTAAAATGGGCCAGCTGATCAACCCTCTTTACCCTCCGACTACTCGGCTAATCTGGTTTTAAAATGCACAAACCTGGAAGGTTCTAGTGGCTGTACTTTGCCTGGCTCTAAAACAGATGAAGAATGACTGTGGAATTTGTTTGTTCTCAGTAGCCTTTGTTCACTGGTGCACAGGCAGGGATATATTGACTTTCCGGTCCGTTCCCCTTGCCCGGAGGTTGTCTGTAATGCCCAACAGGGATGCAGGCTGCCTAAGTGTTTCCAGGTGATGGAGTGTCTTCTTTCGTCATGACACTACCAGTGCTTCTTCGCTGTCTTCCTTTGCCTAAGGGCTGGGACTGGGATGCTGAGAAAGGATGGGATGGCTTATTCACATGCGCTTTCACTGCTTCAGAAGGCAAAGAGACCCAACAAAACCTTCACAGCTGTGCACGGTTCCATCTCCTGCCACTCTCTCCTCTCCCC